TCCCAACCACTGTGCCACCAGGGAAGCCCTCACAAAGAGTTTTGACCAATACAAGATCCTTCCCAGTTCCTCCAAAACATAACCCACAAGTGACCATGGCCTGGTACACTCAGTTCTAAGAAGAGTTCAGTAAGTAAAAGCTTCAGATCTGAGACCTGATCTTTTGGATAAAGTTAGGCCCTCGGGTGCTTAAGGCACAAGCAGATGAATCAGAAAAAAGTAATAAAAGTAAGAAGTTGATGAGAAGCAAGGGACTGAGCAGGGGGCAGATCAAAGAGAAAGGCAGGGGAGGGTGAAAAGGAAGCCATACGATGAGAGTTCTAGAGTCTAGGATGCGGAAGTCACCCCCATCACTGACGTTCATCGATCTTCAGTTCACAATCCCATGTGCAATCTGCTTGCCTTTTACGAAGGGCGGATGAATTCCAGAATTAGTTGAGTTGATCTTCATTGCCTTCAAGTTGGCCAGCATACCATCCAACTCCTGTGTGTCCAAGTTCCTTCCACTGGTCACAGCAACCCTGCAAAGGCCCCAAATACTGGCCCTCTGGGAAGGAGATTATTTCTTAACACCGCCCACAATGAATAACTGCGGACTGGGCAGTTGTGTTGGCCCCAGGTCAGTTTTCTTTACTGACCGCAATCCAAACCAACAACTCATGAACAGCAAGTTCCATTTCCCAGGACTCTAGAAGAAAATGTATCCCAGGGACCACTGAAAAAGTCAAGCAACACTTCTGTGTGGCCCATCAGATCCCAGTGTATCACTGTCACTCTTTAAAAATAAATTTCACACTAATAGATGATTATCCATTAAATAAAATAAGAATCCATGAGGCCAAACTGATATAAATAAATTTTATTTAAAAATAAGGGGGAAAGGGAGGTGGAATGCCAACTAATAAATGTAGAAGGAATGGCGAAATTAGAAAATTATCATTTGGCAAACATCACAATGACAGTTGATTCAGGTAAGGAACATCAATGGTTGCTACTAAACCTGGCCAGTGAAAGCTTGATGACAAACAGGCTATTGACTTAATTGTAAAGTATCTCCCCACAAGATTATTTTTAATTACAAAGAGGAAAACAGTAACTTTTTAGTGGAGAAACCGAGAAGACTGAACTTTAGCCAAGTGATCAAAGTCAGCCTCACTGCTAATGGAACCAACCAAGTTCACTTGCCTCCTGATACAGTGGGTGAGGGGGACACATCTCTTCTGTGACATTCCTGCCAAAAGTACATAATCTGAATCTAAACCTGGGAAACGTGAGACAAATCCAAATGGAGGAACATTCTGCAAAAATTTCAAGTTCGTAAAAGACAAAGAAAGACTCTAGAGTGATTCTAGTTTAAAGGAGACTAAAGAGGTGAGACAGTTAAATGCAGCACATGATCCCTGAACCAGAAAAAAAATTATTTTGCTCTGAAGGACATTATTAGGATAAGGTCTATCAACTAGGTAACATTATCTGAATGATTTGGGGGCAAAAGGACATAATAACTGCAACTTAGTTCAGAAAGAAAATTATATCAGTATATCCATGTCTATATCTATACATCTGCATATCCGTCCATCTAGAGAGAATGACAAAGGAAATGTGGTAAAGGCAAATGTTAACATTTGGGGAATCTGGGTGAAGCTATCATGGGAATTTTTTGTTCTATTTCAACTTTTCTCTAAGTCTGGAATTATTTTAAAATAAAAATAAATACCACTCAAATCCCTTAGGACCAAGCACTTGTGGCCCATTTTCCCAATAGCTGATAAAATGTCATTTTGTGCCAGCAAAGTGTCAGCTTCGACTTTCTTCTGAAGCTTTACTCCATCCCTTTCCCAAGTCCCACTTGTTCCTCTTCCAGCTGCTTGGCGTTTGTCAGCCCTGGCCTTGTCCCAGGCTGTGAAGGCCCCCGCAACCAGGCCTTCCCATGGTGCCCATGTGGACAGCCCCCGGGATGCAGCCTCTGCTGGTCTGTGTGGGGCTGGGGCATCTGCAGTCTAGCTCAGGAAGCCAGGTGTTGTCCTGGCATCTTCTGCCACCATGGCGACAGGGGGCTGCCCTGGGCTGCTGGATGGGAGGAGGAACTCTGCTCCAGTAAGGATCTAAATATAACACTGAGGGAAGGAGGTGAGAGGGAAGTGGGGGGAACATCTTAGCTTTTCCTTCCTTTCCAGGAACAACCTTTAGAAGTGTTTTAAAGAGCTTTTCTTCCTCATCATTACTATCAGATGTATGTTCTCCTGGGTTTCTTGGTACTTCAAAAGAATTAATCTTTCCCTACTAGACTTCACAATATCCCCTGTCCCCTACACACACACACACACACACACACACACACACACTGAGAATGGCTCCCTACACAAGACTTCCCTGGGAGTCCATCTCAACCTTATTACTCAGCACCCAAATTTGCTCCCCTGGGGATTTGGTCCCAGCAAATCCTTCACCTCCAGAAAGAGAGAAGGAAACTAAACAGCAACGGTTCAGTGTACATCTGGGTCCAGTCACTGGTCAGCAGCACTTAGTAGGGCACCAGGTGTGGGCAGAACAATGCGGGTTTCCCGGGAAATTATAAGCGCCCAGGGTAAAGTATCTGTGTCTGATTCTGTCAGACACATCGTAAAACCTTGGAACTTATGTGCTGATGGTAATTGTCCTTCACAGTTAGCTGTCTCTCCTTAGGGTTTTCAATAGGGCATTCATTGAAGGTAGGAAAAAATATACATTGATGTCCCTGAAGGGAAATAAATGGAACACTTCGGACGTGATGCCAGACGGTGTGGTCATCATGCCACTGTTCTACATGGATTGATTTGGGCAGTGATGCAGAACTGCCAGGAGCCAGCCCTCGGATACCCATGATGAGAGCTTCAGCGGGTCACCATCTGGACGAGATTTGGCTTGAGATGGCGTTGGGTAGCACCGAAGGGAGCTGGAGGGATGGTCGAGTCTGGGAACCTGCTAAGTCATGAGGTGAAGCCGATGGCTGGGGGCTGCTTGGTCTATAGCAGAGACGAGGGGCTCACACACCACGCACGTGACATGCCATCTACTTTGGAAAGTAGAAGGAAGACACCAAGGGGCCAGAGATGTCACAGGGAATTTATGAGGGCCGTTGTTTTGAAGGGACCTTTCAAGAAAATGCTTTTCCTTGAAATGCTGAGCTCACTTAGAGCTGTGAGTGAGGGCTAGCAGGGTCCTCTGCCCCGGAGAATGGCTGAGGATGGGGACGGACACCCCACTGGAGGTAGCCAACTGCAGTGGACTTGGGTGAAGAAATGCTGGGAAAGAACTGGGTTCCTCCTAAGGAGCAACAGGGTGGGGCTGATGGATGATTAATGCTACGTGACTTACTGTGATGCGTTCTCAGGATGTTGCCCAAATCTTTTCGTGATCTGGGTTCATGTGGGTCTCTATCCTGACCATTCATTACAGCAAGATGGCTTGTTTCAAAGCCTGACGCAGAGCGCTGCTGGGGTTTGCATCTGAACCGCTGGACATCATGACATCCTATCTTGGTGCCAATAGAAGAAGATGCTTTCAGAGACTGTGACGAAGTTTCACTTTGAAACCTTGTTTTGAAAGCCCTGGGGAAGGATAGATCATCTCAGGGCAAAATGGAAAAACTGCTAGTGTAGCTAGCTAGTAAGCTAGATTTTGTTCTCAAAGTTTGGGACCAAGGTTTTCCTGGTAAGCAACTTGGTTATCCCCAGAGAGAGGTCAAGCATTTATCCAAACTGCAAAAATATCAAGAAAGCAGGAAACAAAGTGAGTTTAACTTAAAAATATTTCACAGTGTTCAAATAATCTGTCATATGTTTTCTCATGTCACCCTCGCAACAGTCTTTGACAAATGTGTACTGTCTTTCAACAAATATTTCTGAATGCCTCATAGGCTGTGTAACTTGGGATAATGTGGGGGAACAGACAGACATGGTCTCTGCTCTCACAAATTTAGCCTGTCCTAAAGAAGAATACAATAATTATAAATGCTACTTAATTCCAAGGTGGAATAGCAATCTCTTTCTTCAATTTTACTGAGGGAAAAACTGAGGCTTACTGAGGTTCAGGGATAATTCTTCATGTCCAGAACTAAAAGAAAAAGCTATTGCCTTTTCTATTCTGTCATTCTGTTTCTTAGGGCATATAGCTTCAATTTGACTATTTTATTAGATAACATTTCTTTGTCACACAAAAGTAAGTTCAGGAGAAAATTTGCAGTGTAAAAATAACTAATATTATAGGAATTTATTAAATCTAGACAATTTTCTCCACTTATTCTATTTCTGGCCTATTTTTGTTGTATCAGTAATTTCTGATAAAATATCAAGGGTTCTTGTTTCCATTACATACAATTGCAGTGGCACTAAAACCTGCAGACGGCACAGCTAAATATAACTTTGCAAATCTATCCTTTTCTACCACACGTTGCCAGTCCCCAGAGTATCCTTACAGAGAAGATTCACAAAAGTAGATTGTTTTACTCCTTGCTGGCTACGCAGTGCCTAGAACGATGCCTGACACATAGTCACTAGATAAATGTTGAATAAATGAATGACTGGTCTCTCTGTTGTTTTAAGAAAAGAAAGCCCTATGTTTTCCTTCTTTCTTCAGACAGAACATGATCTTGAATTTCATGAACTGCCCTGATTATTCACTTGAACCTATACAACCTATAAAAACCAATGTCAAGGTGAAATTGTCTTAATCCTATACATAAAATTTCAATTAGCCAAGCTAATTAAGGAGGAATGATTTCCAAATAATTCCAGAAGCTAATAGTAAAAGAACTGTTATAATAGGATATCCCAAAAGATCTTTCCCAAAAGGAATGGTCTAGTTGAGAATGAGTCCAACTGTATATAAACATACTTGGAATCATCTCGAAGCATGTTTGACTATGTGTTTTTAATACGGATTTTGTTTTCATTCAGAATATAGAGTCAGTATTTTCTGTGATGACAAAATTACAATTTTGAACATTTTGTTTCCACTAGGGGAGAATAAAGGTCTGAGTGAAAAGGTAGCAGCCAAACAAAGGAGCGTGGAAGGGGAAGAGTTCCAACAGCAGTCGGACAAGATCACTTCAGGCAGAAGGTAAGTGAGTATGTTTTGTGGCCTTTCCAAGGAGTCTGTGCTTCAAAGTTGTTTTGCATCATCGTGTCATGAATGTTTGAGCATGTACATGGAGCCCTAAATTATCACCACCTGGCGTCGGTCCACCCAGTGGCACATTCCTCTTGTCCAATGATGCCTTAGCTCATGGTGTACGGTCGAGTCACTTGGAAATCCAGAAAAAGGACTGGATCAAGTCCCGTGCATGCAGTGATTTGCCAGCCCTTGTAGCATCAGACTGTGGTTAGTTCCACTCCTAGATCCCTTCACTACATGGATGGTGAGTTAAGACATTTGATGATGTTGAAGCCTCATGTTGTCTGTTCCTTCTAAATCCAAGAATTTGTTCCACCATCGGAAGGGTATGCCTGATGAAAGACGGGTCAGAGGCATCTGAAATGACAGGCTGTATTTAGCAGAATAATCCTGTTTTCTTTTATTTATTGCCCAAAGAACTGAATGTTCATGGGAAAGAATTTTTAGGCATCCTAGTATTTGTTTCTGGAATGTATTTTTCTACATATGGTAGCATGCAGCATCTGCATGAAGGATGGTAGACAGAAATTTTTTACTGCAATTCTTCATTACAAATAGGAGAAAACTGGAGGACAGAGAGCCTCAGTAACTTATTCAAGGTAATCAGATTCGTTCGTAGCCAAAGCTAAAACCCAGGACTCAAGATTCCCCGTATTTCACAGATGATTTCATAAGAACATGCAGACATTCCAAATCAGATTCCTCCCTCTCTCCCAAGCTCATTCTTCATTTGAGTATCATTTGTTTTTCTGGAACTAATTACAAATTTACAGTTTAGGCACCAAGCCAAGCCCAACTATTATGGCTTCAGGCTCTGTTAGGGTAAATATAAGCAGAGATGTTCTGACTACGCTCTGTGAAGCCTCTTCAAGGGTCACAATGCAGATGTGTGCTCATGTGAGTGTGCACGTATGTTGCTCATGTGTGCATGTGTGGTTGTACGGATAGGGACGGGGCATCCTCTAACTTTGACAAGATTACTTCCTTCTTTACCTACTTACCTATTGGTAAGATTTTGTTTAAAAAACAACAAAAAATGTCTGTGGTGTCAGACATTCCTGTCACACACATCAGCATGTCCTGTAGATACTTTCTCCTGAATCCAAGAAAAAAACATTATATTTTAATTGTAAATTATTCTTTATGGTATAGGGTCTATATTGCTGAGACTTTGGTAACTTTGGGCTTTTTAGTCCACAGGCTCCATTACCTTACGCAGTGGTGGGTTTTTATTTGTTCACTTACTTGCTTGTGCGTCGAATGATCAACAAGGCTAACAGACATTTTATATACAGATTCATTTTATCTTTTATGTGTTACTGAAAATCCAAACTTTACAACAGAGCGATATGTTAATGCAGAGAATTTATTAGTTGAGGCCACAAGCCTGGATCCTTCCGAAAGAACACATCAGATAAAGCCACATCAGGATATTACTTTTGATAATAAATGTGCAGAATGGACCATCCCTATGCCCATCTGTAAAGCTGGGTGGGATATTGTGGGCATCCCCCCTCCATCCTTCCACACCCCCAACACACTTTTTATCCTGAAAGCACATCCTCACTTGGTGGAATAGAAAATGTGGAAAGTGTTAGGACTGAAGCTGCAAATTCAGATAAAAATGCCTTGGTGTGTGTAGCTTATTCTTAAGTAAATAATATACCTGAAGGTATCTGAAAATTATCTTTTTTTCATAAACATATGGTTTTGTTGGCTCTGCCTCAAGGCAAACAACCATGAGACAGATAGTACAGAGTTCTTATTAGATGATTTGCCGTAACAAGATAGACTAATTAGCTCTTTCCTAAGAGTTCAGTTTGATGTTGGAGAGCCCGTGAGAGCTGTGGAAGCTGAGGGGAGAGAGGGATGTTACTGAGGAGGGGTGCCAAACAGAACTGGGTGGGACACGAAGGGAGACATGCTGAAGACAAACTAAGCAAGAGGCATAAAGGGCTTCCCTGGTGGTGCAGTGGTTGAGAGTCCGCCTGCCGATGCAGGGGACACGGGTTCGTGCCCCGGTCCAGGAAGATCCCACATGCCGCGGAGTGGCTGGGCCCGTGAGCCATGGCCGCTGAGCCTGCGCATCCAGACCCTGTGCTCCGCAGCGGGAGAGGCCACAGCTGTGAGAGGCCCGCGTACCGAGGAAAAAAAAAAAAAAAGAGGCATAAAGACAGATGGCCAAGAGGCGCATGAAGAGCTGTTCAACATCACGAATTATTAGAGAAATGCAAGTCAAAACTACAATGAGGTACCACCTCACACTGGTCAGAATGGCCATCATCAAAAAATCTACAAACAATAAATGCTGGAGAGGGTGTGGAGCAAAGGGAACACTCTTGCACTGTTGGTGGGAATGTAAATTGATACAGCCACCATGGAGAACAGTATGGAGGTTCCTTAAAAAACTAAAAATAGAACTACCATACGACCCAGAAATCCCACTACTGGGCACATACCCAGAGAAAACCGTAATTCAAAAAGACACATGCACCCCAATGTTCATTGCAGCACTATTTACAATAGCCAGGACATGGAAGCAACCTAAATGTCCAATGACAGATGAATGGATAAAGAAGACATGGTGCATATATACAGTGGAATATTAGCCATAAAAAGGAACGAAATTGAGTCATTTGTAGAGACTGGATGGACCTAGAGACTGTCATACAGAGTGATGTAAGTCAGAAAGAGAAAAACAAGTATCGTATATTAACGCATGTATGTGGAATCTGGAAAAATGATACAGATGAACCAGTTTGCAAGGCAGAAATAGAAACACAGATGTAGGGAACAAGTGTATGGACACCAAGGGGGGAAAGCGGGGGCGGGGAGTGAGGTGAATTGGGAGATTGGGATTGACATATATACACTACTATGTATAAAATGGATAACTAATAAAAAAAAAAAGAGGCGTAAAGAGCTAACATTTGGAATCTGAAACCATTTCATTCTTGACTTGCTCACTTGCAAATAACCCAATAAAAACGTATAGGATTCTTAAAGGCAAAGATTGTGTCTTACCAATTTCCGCATGTCTAGTGCTTAATATAGAACCAAGCACATTGTTATCACTCCTTAAATGTTTATTGTTTTTAAGTAAATGAACGAATGCTTAATGCACGCATATATATGTTTCTCTACCAGAGAAAAAGATTTCCTTTTTTTCTTTAGGTTGATGCATTCCATGGTATTATATATGAAATGAGATGCCCTTTTAATCTGCTCTGCATGAAACTGACCATTCTGAACAAAGACATTGGCCTTCTCTGAATTCTGATGCTCTTAGAAATTGAGATAAATATTTAACCATCCCTCCCTGTGCCCTTGTGGATCTGTGTGGAATCCTTGAGCTGGCTAATTGAACATTAAATGTATAAGTTAAACTACTCATCTCTCAGTAACAGAGGAGGATAAACTTAGTACAAAAAGAACATTCTTCTTCCTCACCTGTGAACATAAAGCAAAACAAAAATCTGCAAGTGTATTTTGAGATAGGTTTATGAGGAGCTTTGACATATGCATATGAATTTGATGATGAAGTTTTGACATTTGTACAACTACACACTCATAAAGTTGTATCAGAAACTCTTTAAAAAACAACCACCACCATACATACATTTTGCTGTTTTTCTGGAAAAAAAAAAATAGGTACTCCTAATCCATGGAGTTTCCATTCACAGAAAAAGCTGTCAGGAAAGAAAACGTCAGCCATAGAAAGGCATTCTATTAGGGAAATGAACCAAATCAGAAAAGGAGAACACTATTCGCAATTTAACCAGCCAAGTTAAACATGACACGATTAGAGCCAATCTTTGGGGACCAAGTTAGTGGTAATTGTGCCTTATTTAACTTGGCCAATTAAAGGCTGAACTCTTTTCTAAATTGGCTATTTTCAAAGCAATCACACCTTTGCACTCAGAATTTTTTTCAGCTTGCCATTTTTAATTTAGTATTTGACTGCTTAATAGGTGTATGTGTACATGGACCCGTGACTAAATATTTGCACATAATACAAAATTAATATGCATTTGTATTGGGCAGAATGAAGGATTTCTTATTATATTAGGCTTTTAAACCAGATCAGGGTCATATATGTTTTTACATGTCCAATAATTTCCAACATCTGAAGAAAGTAAGCTGTGAAATATATTGCCTAAGGGCAGATTCCTAGAAAATAACTATTGTAACTTGGAAAAAAGAATAACCTAAGGAATGAGGGTTTCAATATGTAGAAAAAGTAGAGAAGAGGACAAAGTGTTGGTTTTTCTACCAACCATAAGTGCATCTTCATTTACTTTGTACCATGAGTCAGTTAATATTTATTGAAGGCTCTGTGCAGAGAACTGCTCTTGACTAGATGATTCCAACCAAAGCCCCAGAAATTATCCCTGACTCAAGAAGCATCTACTCTTAAAAAAAAAAAAAAAAGGAAGAAAAGACCCAAATTGTGTGGGAGCATAAATACAAAGACTGAAAGCTCGAATCAGCTTCTCAGCTTTCTACACTGGGATAAAAGTATTCATATACGTTAGTGTTAAGACTCAAGACTCAGAAAAGGAGAAAAGAAAACAGTTGAGGGAGGCTTCCCTGGTGGCGCAGTGGTTGAGAGTCCGCCTGCCGATGCAGCGGACACGGGATCGTGCCCCGGTCCGGGAAGATCCCACGTGCCGCAGAGCGGCTGGGCCATGTGAGCCATGGCCGCTGAGTCTGCGCGTCCGGAGCCTGTGCTCCGCAACGGGAGAGGCCACAACAGTGAGAGGCCCGCGTACCGCAAAAAAAAAAAAAAAGAAAACAGTTGAGGGGAGGAGGTCCTCATAGCTCTATGAATTGAGACTGACGGAATTAGTCAAAAAAAGTTTTTCTGGGGAAATCTAGTGGAATAAGCACTGGAAGAAGAGTAAGAGGCTCTGAAATGAAAGTAAATGACTGAAAGTCAGCTTTGT